GCGCTGAAACCCCCAAGCCCCCCCCCCCCGGCTACCTGCCTGCCTGCCCTGTATTCCCTGTGCTAGATAGCTACTCATCATCATTTGAATCCTGCAGTGTTCCAAGTACTTCTAGGGTGTGCTACATAGAGGTTTGCATCTTCACAATGCAAACTACAATGGGTGCTCTGGATCATTGTGAGAAATCATCCCCATCTGAAAAGAACTGTTGGGTGGGACCATGAAGCATGCTCTTCGGAGGCTTTGGATTTCAGTTTCCTCTCCTGTCTGATACAAATCAAACAGCAGAGGTCTAACGACTGCTTCTTTTTAACAGGATGAAAAATTACCTTCCCTGAGGGATGCATTGATAATGTGTTGTATTTGAAGTCTTAACTACATCTCCTCTCTGGACGACCAGCCAAGAAGGGCATGGATCAAGAAAATAGATCAGGACCTCCTTACTTATTCCAGCAGCTTTTCCACATCAACAGTACTTACCAATTGAAACTGATCCAGTGTAATTCCATTCACAGAGTTGCTGGACACCTCATTATTGAGTTCTGCTACAATGATGGCCCACTGGACCTTTTAAGTTGAAGGTATGGAACTCACCCCCATTGTGGTCCCTCAATTCAGAATAAAAATGAGCCAACAGAATATATTCTGCCAACTGTGTCTGCAAAAAAAATATGTCAGAATCGCATGACAAATGTTGAAGATGCTCTACGGCCTGCAGCATCAAATATTCAGCCAAGGTTTAATTCTTTATGTATTAAAAATAAGCACATCCACTTCATTAGTATGCAAATTTGCTCTCATCTTTAATAAATAGTAAAATTATATGTATACCAAATAACTGTTTTAAAATGCATTTCTTTATGATTTATTTTCAGAGAATGTTTGAATTGTATACCTATTTTATATACTTATATACCTGGGGTTCTGTAAAAAAAAATTATTGAGCAAAAAGGGGTCACAGGTAGAAAAAGTTTAAGAAGCCTTGCCCTAAATGACCATAATCTTTCCTATAGAAGAATGCAACAAAAATGACACTGGCAGTTGTAATGAACTGGAACTCTTCCACTAGGAAGATCCATTAGGATTGCTGTTCACATCATGACCAAATCATAACAGTTGTTCAGTAGTATGAAAAAATTAAATTGTACTACTGATCATTTCATTGGATACTTTTTGTATTTCCTTTGTAGTTTCAAGCTGAGAAAGACATGGAGGTCAAGAACGAACTGGATAAATTAAATTTTCTCTTTTTAAAACTGCACAATTCTCATTTATATTAATGGAAAAATGAATCTTGTTACTGTACTTTGATTTTCTTTGTTTGTTTCTATGCTATACAGGCAGTCCCCAAGTTATGAACAACATAGGCTCTATAGGTTTGTTCTTAAGTTGAATTTGTGTGTAAGTCAGAACAGGTGCATTTCTAAGTGTAACTTCTACCAAACACACACACACACTCTCTTTCTCTCTCTATTCCCTATGCTATTTAAAGTGTGTGTAGACACACAGACATATATACTTTAGATAGCATATGAAAGGGTTGTTTTGCTATCTATGACTGTATTCAAAAGTTTTCAACTCATTTTCTATTCCTGTAATATCTGGATTTTGAAAAATGTGGCATGTTGTGGCCATACAGCCAGGAAAATTCACAGCAACCCAGTTATTTAGCTGCTAATAATAATCATAGAATCATAGAATCAAAGAGTTGGAAGAGACCTCATGGGCCATCCAGTCCAACCCCCTTCCAAGAAGCAGGAATATTGCATTCAAATCACCCCTGACAGATGGCCATCCAGCCTCTGTTTAAAAGCTTCCAAAGAAGGAGTCTCCACCATACTCCAGGGCAGAGAGTTCCACTGCTGAACGGCTCTCATAGTCAGGAAGTTCTTCCACATGTTCAGATGGAATCTCCTCTCTTGAAGTTTGAAGCTAATAATAATAATAATAATAATAATAATAATAATAATAATAACAACTTTATTTCTATACCCCGCCTCCATCTCCCCAAAGGGACTCGGGTGTTTTACAAAGGGACAAGCCCAGAGGGCACAGAGTTAAAAATATAACACCATAAAATAAAATAAAAACTAAACCAAATAGACACATCACAATAAAACATAACATCATAAAAATAGTACCATGCAGAGCAATAAAAGTACTGAGTTCAGAGGGCTCTGAGTGTGATAGCACCCCGGGATAAAAGGAAAACTATATGTCTGGCTATTCCCGGTGGCTATACCCTCTGATGTACTTCAGTTCTTTAAAATTAACACTCTTGAGACAGGATTAAAGTTAACCAAATAAGTTCACTGGAAACAAAAAGGTAAAGTTAACTTCAGTCAGGGATCTTGAAAGGTTAATCAAAATAAAATATTACAAAGATGAAGTTTGTTGATTGAACTTAGTTACACTGGCAATAAACACTTGAGTATATTCGTAAAATATGAGGTAAAATACTTGACTATAATTGTGGTAAGTTGCTTGGTAAGTACTCGGCTATTAAAAGTAAAATACTGGACTAAATTATTGGTAAATACTAGGCTATATTGCCATTGCCCTGAGCAGCGTTCTAATCCTGCCTCCTGGCAACGATGGAGTGTGGAAGGGGGTTTCACCTTCCCCCTCAGGAGAGAGGCAGCCAATCAAGAGGTATTAAGCAAAGCAAAGCAGAGACAACTAGCAAAAAGAAAAAGGTGTGTGGTGCCTTTAAATCTCTCCCCGCTTCTGCCTCACCCTCTGTGTGCCCAGGGGGGAGTCTCTCCTTTGGTATCAGCCATTGGTTGAGGTTCTGGGTTTGAGCCTGCCACTTTTGGACTCTCGCTTGCTGAGGTGTTCCAGCGAGGGTCTCTGTAGATCTTAGAAAACTATTTCTAGATTTAAGTCGTTGACGTGCTGGCTGATACCCAAACAGGGGATGAGCTGGAGATGTCTCTGCCTTGGTCCTTTCACTATTGGCTGCTACTTCCCGGCGGATGTCAGGTGGTGCAATACTGGCTAAGCAGTGTAATTTCTCCAGTGGTGTAGGGCGCAGACACCCCGTGATAATGCGGCATGTCTCATTAAGAGCCACATCCACTGTTTTAGTGTGGTGAGATGTGTTCCACACTGGGCATGCATACTCAGCAGCGCAAGGGCAGATGTCTTCACTGTATCTGGTTGTGATCCTCAGGTTGTGCCAGTCAGCTTTCGTATGATATTGTTTCTAGCACCCACTTTTTGCTTGATGTTCAGGCAGTGCTTCTTGTAGGTCAGAGCACGGTCCAGAGTGACTCCCAGGTATTTGGGTGTGCTGCAATGCTCCAGTGGGATTCCTTCCCAGGTAATCCTCAGAGCTCGGGATGCTTGTCTGTTCTTAAGGTGAAAGGCACATGTCTGTGTTTTAGATGGGTTGGGGATCAGCTGGTTTTCCTTGTAATAGGCAGTGAGAGCATCTAGAGCTTCGGAAAGCTTCTGTTCTTTCCCCCCCCTGAAATTTGGTGGGCTAACAGTGGTAAATGTGTTTTACCATGTGCTCACGCCTATAGCTTTATTTTTCCCCTCATAATTAATTTTTATTAACTACAAAAGAAATGCTATATACATAAAAAGAGGTGGAACAATATAGTGAAAGAAAAGTAGGAAATAAAGATGTGGAAAGCTTCTGTTCTACCATCCGTAGGTGACTACAGGGAATACCATGGCTTTGACTAGGCGGATCTTTGTTGCCAGTCTGATGTCTCTGCTCTTTACTATTTTATCGAGACTGGACATTGCTCTCCTCCCAAGAAGTAAGCGTCTTCTGATTTCCTGGCCACAGTCTGCATCTGCCGTAATCTTTGCACCTAGAAATACAAAGTCTGTCACGGCCTCCACGTTTTCTCCCTCTATTTTCCAGTTGTCAATCATTCTTGTTGCCATAATCTTGGTTTTTTTGACGTTTAGATGCAACCCGGCTTTTGCGCTTTCTTCTTTCACCTTGATTAGAAGGCTCCTCAGCTCCTCCTCGCTTTCGGCCATCAGAGTGGTGTCATCTGCATATCTGAGGTTGTTAATGTTTCTTCCAGCAATTTTCACCCCAGCTTTGCATTCATCCAGCCCCGCACATCGCATGATGTGTTCTGCATACAAGTTAAAAAGGTTGGGTGAGAGGATGCAGCCTTGCCGTACGCCTTTCCCAATCTTGAACCAGTCTGTTGTTCCATGGTCAGTTCTGACTGTTGCTACTTGGTCCTTGTACAGATTCCTCAGGAGAGAGACAAGGTGGCTTGGGATGTCCATCCCACTAAGAACTTGCCACAATTTATTATGATCCACACAGTCAAAGGCTTTAGAATAGTCAATGAAGCAGAAGTAGATGTTTTTCTGAAACTCCCTGCCTTTCTCCATTATCCAGCGGATATTGGCAATCTGGTCTCTCGTTCCTCTGCCTTTTCTAAACCCAGCTTGAACATCTGGCAACTCTCGCTCCATGTATTGCTGGAGTCTTCCTTGCAGGATCTTGAGCATTACCTTACTGGCATGAGAAATAAGTGCCACTGTACGAAAGTTTGAGCAGTCTTTAGCATTTCCCTTTTTTGGTATGGGGATATAAGTTGATTTTTTCCAGTCTGATGGCCATTCTTGTGTTTTCCATATTTGCTGGCAAATGGCATGCATCACCTTATGCTTAAATATAACAGCCTTGTGGCTTTAGACAGGGAATAAATAAGTAAGTTCTAACTCTGGGAATAAAGTTCCTCAGATCAGATTCTGGAGGTGAAAAAGAAGGAAGAAAGAAGACAAGTCGATCCCGGGACAAACCGGCGAGAGGGAGAGAAAGAGAGAGAGAGGGAGAGCGAGCGCGCGCCTGCCCCCTTCGGGCCCGGAGCTTCCGCGCCGCCGCCTACCTCTGAACCCGCTTTGGGTGGCGGCTGATGATGGCAGCAGAGAAAGGGGCGGAGCTAGGCGCTGTTGCCGGCGGCGGCCAATCAGAGCGGAGGGGCGCCCATCGCAGCGCTGCCCTCGGCCCCTCCCTCTCCCTCCCTCCTCCTCCTGCTCCTTCCTGCCTGGCTCCGCCGTTCCCGTGCCAGTCCCAGTGTTCCGTCCGTCCTGCGCCTCAAACAAAAGCGGGGTCCTGCGAGGAAGGCGGCGGAGGAGTTGCGCCGCCCGAGGGAGGGGCCAGCCACGACGAGGGCCACCCGCCCGCCCGCCTGCTTCGCTGAGGGAAAGTTTGCGCGGCTTCTCCCGTCCAGACTGAGGCGGGTTTGCTGAGGAGGGATTAAGCGGCGGGTCTCCCAGCGCCACTCTTTCTCTCCCTCACAGACACACACAACAAAAGCGGAAGAGGGAAAAGCGGAGGGAGACTTCTTCTTCGCCTCCGCCTCGTCCTCAGGAGCCCCCCCTGGTCGGGGGCCCCGCGGCGGGCCCAGCATGGACGACCAGCCCCGGCTGATGCACTCTCACGCGGCGTCGGCGGTGGTGGGCATGGCCGGGCACCCGGGCCTGGCGCAGCACTTGCCCGACGGGGCCGGGCCCGCCGAAAGCGAGGGCGGAGGGCGCAAGCAGGACATCGGAGACATCCTCCAGCAGATCATGACCATCACCGACCAGAGCCTGGACGAGGCGCAGGCCAGGTGAGCAGGGCCCTCCCTTCCCATCCCTATCCCTTCCCCATCCCTTCCCTCCTTTCTCCTCAGACATCCCTGGAGAGAGAGAGAGATTGGCTCGGCTAAGTTGGGTCTTGAGACCTGCAGGAAGGAACCAAGCAGCCCTTTCTTCCTTTCCCCAGCAACCCTCACACCCTCTCTCCTTCTCCAAGTCCAGCTTTAGGGGTGATGATCTCTTTCAGCATCCATCTGTTCCTCAACTGAGATCTCAGTCCTTATATTAGTGATTTTTGAGAGAAAGAAGCTTCAGGGTTTATTTTCTAATACACAGAAAGACTGTCAGTGGCAAGGATTTTTGTTATTGAGATGTGTGTGGGGGAAAACAGTAAGCCTTCTTTGCTCTTTTGGAAACTACACTGCAGATTGCACTGCATTTATTTATTTTATTTTGTAGATCTCAGTCGTTATACTAGTGGTTTTTGAGGTAGAGAAAGAAGCTTCAGGGTTTATTTTCTAATACACAGAAAGACTGTCAGTGGCCAGGATTTTTGTTACTGAGATGTGGGGGGGGGGGGGGGGAGAATAGTAAGCCTTGTTTGATCTTTTGGAAACTACACTGCCATTGCAGTGCAATATGCATAAATAAATAAATAAATAAATAAATTGCACTGCATTTATTTATTTATTTCGTATCAAAAGCATTGCATGAATTAGTATAAAACCAAAAAAAAAAAAAATAGAAGGAGCGCAGGCGGCTAAATATCTTTTGACTATAGTGGGCAAGCATACAGATGGGTTTGTTTTCTAATACACAGAAAGACTGTCACTGGCCAGGATTTTTGTTACTGAGTTATGGGGGGGGGATAGTAAGCCTTGTTTGCTCTTTTAGAAACTACGCTGTCATTACAGTGCATTGCACAAATTAGTATAAAATCTGATAAAAATAAACGTCAAAAAAACCAAGATTATGGCAACAAGAATGATTGACAACTGGAAAATAGAAGGAGAAACCGTGGAGGCCGTGGCAGACTTTGTATTTCTAGGTGCAAAGATTACTGCAGATGCAGACTGTAGCCAGGAAATCAGAAGACGCTTACTTCTTGGGAGGAGAGCAATGTCCAGTCTCGATAAAATAGTGAAGAGTAGAGACATCAGACTGGCAACAAAGATCCGCATAGTCAAAGCCATGGTATTCCCTGTAGTAACCTACGGATGTGAGAGCTGGACCTTAGGGAAGGCTGAGCAAAGGAAGATAGATGCTTTTGAGCTGTGGTGTTGGAGGAAAGTTCTGAGAGTGCCTTGGACTGCGAGAAGATCCAACCAGTCCATCCTCCAGGAACTAAAGCCCGACTGCTCACTGGAGGGAAGGATACTAGAGACAAAGTTGAAGTACTTTGGCCACATCATGAGGAGACAGGAAAGCCTAGAGAAGACAATTATGCTGGGGAAAGTGGAAGGCAAAAGGAAGAGGGGCCGACCAAGGGCAAGATGGATGGATGGCATCCTTGAAGTGACTGGACTGACCTTGAGGGAGCTGGGGGGGGTAACGGCCGACAGGGAGCTCTGGCGTGGGCTGGTCCATGAGGTCACGAAGAGTCGGAGACGACTGAACGAATGAAAAACAACAACTATAATAATAATGATAATGATAATAATACACTTATTATTAATAATACACAAAAGCAATGGCATTGTCTGTAGCCTCCAACAATTCTTCCTCTGTACATGAGGCAGGGCATAGTGGGCAAGCATACAGATGGGTTTGTTTTCTAATACACAGAAAGACTGTCACTGGCCAGGATTTTTGTTATTGAGATGTGTGTGGGGGAAAATAGTAAGCCTTGTTTGATCTTTTGGAAACTACACTACCATTGCAATGCAATATGCATAAATAAATAAATTGCGCTGCATTTATTTATTTATTTCGTATCAAAAGCATTGCATGAATTAGTATAAAACCGATAAAAATAGAAGAAGCGCAGGTGGCTAAATATCTTTTGACCAAAAACGGGCAACAGCAATGGCATTGTCTGTAGCCTCCAACAATTCTTCCTCTGTACATGAGGCAGGGCATAGTGGACAAGCATACAGATGCGGAGTTGTCTGTTCTGCTCCACAGTCACACAAGGTGTGGGATTCTTTTAGGTAGTGCCGTTTTGCCAGGTTGTCTTTTGATCTGCCCACTCCACTTCTGAGTCTGTTCAGGGACTTCCAAGTTGCCCATTCTTGGTTTGCCCCTGGAGGAAGACCCTCGTGGGGGCCATCCAGTTGGTGCACTGGATTGTAAGCTCAGTGTAATAATAATAATCTATATAAATAAAAATGTAATGTTCGTTTGTGGGATTAACATAACTCAAAAACCACTGGACGAATTGACACCAAATTTGGACACAATACACCTATCAGGCCAACAAGTGACCATCACTCATAAAAACACTGAAAAACACAGCAGAAGAGACTTAAAAAGCCAAAAAACAAAATTTACAATGCATGCGCAAAACCACACACACACACACATATATACACACAAACACACATATACAAAAATATATGCACACACAAAGCACATATACATAGACTGGGCCACAGCAACATGTGACAGGGGACAGCTAGTAATAAATAATTTTGTGTTGTCGAAGGTTTTCATGGCCGGAATCACTGGTTTGCTGTGAGTTTTCCAGGCTGTATGCCCATGTTCCAGAAGCATTCTCTCCTGATGTTTCACCCACATCTATGGCAGGCATCCTCAGTGGTTGTGAGGTCTGTTGGAAATAGGCAAGTGAGGTTTATCTATCTGTGCAATAGCCAATAGTGGGAGAAAAGACATTCAACAGATATATTAACCTCACTTGCCTGGTTTCCAACAGACCTCACAACCTCCAAGGATGCCGGCCATAGATGTGGGTGAAATGTCAGGAGGGAATGCTTCTGGAACTTGGCCATATAGCCCAGAAAATTCGATAATATTTTTATTTCTTGCCCACCTCTCCTCAAGGTGGGTTACAGCATTGCTAAAACATAAACACATAATCATTTTAATCACTCCTATAATGCAGTTTTAGATTATATGAGTCTACACTGACCATATAATAAGGTGCAAGGATGCATGATAATGGCAGTGTAGGTGGGGCCTTCTCTGTCTTAACCATCATTTCAGTTTCCTAGAACCCTTCCACACAGCCATATAAGTCAGAATATCAAGGCAGATAATCCACAATGTCTGCTTTGAACTGGGTTATCTGAGTCCACGCTGCCATATAACCCAGGGCCCTTCCACACAGACCTGTATCCCAGAATATCATGGCAGAAAATCCCACAATATCTGCTTTGAACTGGGTTATCTGAATCCACACTCAGATAATATGGGATTTTCTGCCTTGATATTCTGAGATATAGGGCTGTGTGGAAGGGCCCCCAGTTCGAAGTAGATAATGTGAGATTTTATACAACTGTGTGGAAGGGGCCTTAACCACAGTCTGAAAAGAAAAGTTAAACTCAGTTAATCTGATGGAAATCAATGGGCTTGATCTCCCACATTTCTTGTTGCTCTATGGCCTTCCCTGTGAGGAGAGCATGCTTTCTTCTTTTGTATTGGTAAACACTGCAGCTTTAGTTAGAATTGGGGCCCTTCCACTTAGCCATATAACCCAGAATATCTGCACTGAACTGGGTTATTTGAATCCACACTGCCATATAATCCAGTTCAGTGTGGATTTTATACAGCTATGTGGAAGGGACTCTGTGTTTGGTGTCTGTCTTTTCTCCACAGTGTCAAGACACACCAGATTTAAGGTTATTAATTGAATACAGAGCCTAATAGTAACCAACCACTAATATGCTAATTCATATCCTTATAGCCGTTGAACACAGAAGGTATTTCCAGTTAGGTGACCATGGGGAAATCACTGTGTGACAATAGCCACCGGAATATCTTGAGGACACTGGAATATGAGGCAAGCTGCACAGCTCTGTTGTGTTATCTCTCACTTGTTCACTTTGTCACACAAGCCATCATACAGCTTGGAGCTCATGGAACGAGAAGGGATTTAAAAATGATCTTGGGTTTATTTTGAAATGCTTCAGTATATCTCCAATTGTATTTTTCCATTTGGGTGATTTAATAGTTCTAATAGTCTCATGTTACACATTTTTTTTAAAAAATAGTGTTTCTTAAAAAAGAAACAAGGCATTCAACAGAATCTGGCAAGTAAAGCATGAAGGATTTTGCAAAACATTACCTCAACGGTAATATGCAACACCATTTGAAAAATGCAAAAAACAAAGACATGATCTTACAGAAGGGAAAGGAGGGAGGGGACTGGCACACTGTCAATTTGATTTTACCTGAAGAAGAACTCAGTATTTCAACATCTGCATTTTGTATTATGCAGTGGAGTAACCAATGATAAACTATTGCTGGGAAACTGCACATTTATTAGGCTGTAACAAATCACTTTGAGCCCCATGTCTGTCTGTCTGTTCAGAAATATTTTATATCTCATCTTTTTCCTAGTCCAAGATTGAAAAAGTTTAAAACATAAAAATATTTTAAAATTCACAAAATACAAAATTTAAAAGTGATTACACTATAAAAATTAAAACTAGCTAAACATATAAATCATTAAAATACATCAGAACAACTGGTAGAAGACCCACTGAATTCAGTATGATGGTTAGACTGAGAAATGCCATCTCAACAAACTTTTGGCCGGTGTTTCTCAGGATGGCTGAAGCAAAGGCAAGGAGGAGTATTATGTTATTAAATGTTTCGTGCATAAATGTATTTTTGGTGGAAGCCAACATATTGATAATGACGTGATTTCCCCCCAACTGATTAATGTTTACATGTTCCTTGTAGTACTGACAGATTTTTTAAATAAGAAAAGCATTTTTGCTTTTCTTATAGCAACTAGTTCTATATTTTAAGGGATTTCATGGATGTCAGATTGAAGTGATGATGATGTTGCTGTAGTCTTTCTGTTCTTTTATACTGTCTTGAGTGCCTGGCCAAACATATTTTGGAAACAGAAGCAGTGCTTGTATACCAGATGCACACACAGAAGCAGTCCAGCTGTGGCACAAGAATGTCAGCCGTCTCAAGCATAGGATTTGAGGTGCCACTAAAGGCAACAGAGGAAGAGGGGGCAGATTGATTTGTCACATGGAGCACACCCTGGGTTGTTTTCCTGTATAAGTCCCATTGTAGAGATTGGGAACTGTCCAAAGTCTTCACAGACCTTCTGATGAAGAACCTCTCATTGGGTTGTGCTTCTTACTAAAATCAATGAAAGGAGATGTTGCTCTGTGCTTTTCTGACTTAGGTACCAAAGTGTTTACATTTCCATGGCATGTAGCTTTGGCTTAAAAACATTATTCAACCGATCGCTGATTAAATTATACCTTTTGCATATTGTAACAAACCTTCACAGAGCTTGTCTAGGAAGGATAACTTTAAGGAGGCTATGAAATAATAATAACTAGCACCACCACAACCCATTTCTTTCCCTAAATGGGCATCCACTGGGACATAAAACTAATGAACCTAATAAATAGATTCCTCACATGCTAGCAGCTGCAAGAAAGTTGGTGCTGCTGGGGAGGAAGGAGGAAAACCGTATACATTCTAGCTGTTCATCTATTCTCTAAGGCAGTAAGATATTTTGGTTATTATGTTTCGTATTTCAATTTTCTAAAAGCATTCTGAGTTTAACACCTTGAAATAAGAAAGCAGTAAAACAAGAGCATAAAAGTAATCAAATTCCCCCTCGCTGAATTACATATGTGCTTTTCTTGGCAGTGCTATATTTTTTAACTTAAGAGCTGAAATTCTATACCTTGGCTTTTCTCGTCAAAGGATTTTTTCAGTCTTTCCTGAAACAGCATCTGTGCAAAAAAACTGGAATGTATGGTAGAATAAAAAAATTGGAGAAGCAGATATTGTCATTTCCTACATAGTTGGAAAAGATTACCATTAGACATAGCAATGGCTTCTAGTATTGATCTGTTAATAGCGAGGCCAGCAAGTGTGGCTTGAGAATGCTTTGAAATCCTCTTCTGAAGGAATTCTCGATACTGGTGGTGCTTGTATTACCATGTGTATTTGGCAATGCAGATTTGCTTCCTATTCAGTATAAAACTCCGAGCTGTTTTTAACTTGTGTGTAATTTGCATGATCGTTTAACTTTTAATATTACTTCTGCTTGAAGCCCATTCATGAGTACTTCCAGACTGATTGAAAAGTCCTTGATTTTGTTCTTTTTCTTTCTAGTTTTATACTGGCTTAAAGTAAAAGTTGCAGTTTGCGCTCTTAATATTTCTGATTTTATATTGACTTAAAACTGGGGAGCTGGTATTAAACATATCATTGATTGGACTGGGAGCTAAGAGAAATATTTTGGGATAAACAACGTATTTATGGATCTTGAAAATAAAATTAGAATAAAACCTGGGGTTTTCTGGTTTTTAATCAGTCTGGATGCATCAATAGTTTAAACCTTTCAAAATGTTATCTGGCATATATTCAGCATAATCCCTTTTGATTTCCTTTTAGAAAACATGCTTTAAACTGTCACAGAATGAAACCAGCACTTTTTAATGTCTTGTGTGAAATCAAAGAAAAAACAGGTAAGGAAAAAACCTATTTTTCATTCCATCATTCCTCTTTTTGGCTCCCTTTCATGCCTTTCTTTGAGATCTGATTACATTCCAGTGTTTCTTTAAAGGAACGACAAACAATTGTTTTATGCATTTACACGGTTCTGATGCCATAATGAACAGTCTGCCATTTGTGTCAATGCAATACGGGGAACATTAATTTTAATATGCTGTATACCTGATTGCTGTTTTAAATATTGGTTGTCCCTTTTTTATTTTATTTTATACTGGGTTAAAATAATCAGGCCTGGTAATCTAATGTAAAAAAAACTCTGATTGTATTGGGAGCTGATATAAAATATTATGCGATAAAAATGTATAGATCTCCAAAATAAATTTGGAAAGAACACTATCTGGGACTTTCTGGTTTTTTAAAGTGGTTTGGAAGTGCACAATTATTTAGGAAGCCTATTGCTAACATATATAAAATTATGTATGTTAGAATGCCGCCGACTAGAATTGTTGGGTATCTTAAGGTCTTGTTACCTTATATCAAGTGATGTTTCCTGGTTTGAAAGATGACAACAATATTAGAAAATTCATTTTGTGTTCTCCCACCTCGCAGGACTCCTACCATGTGCTAATACAATAATGAAATGTCTCCGGGGGGGGGGGGGGATTTAAATTTTAAAAGCAACAATTAAAAATAGCTGTCATCAGTCAAGGGTGATATTAAACAGCAGATGCTTCAGAGAAGAGTGTGCAGTGACATCTGCAACTTATTTCAACTTCTAGATTTTTAAACAAATAGAATGTGAGAAATTGTCAGTTAGCTCACAGGAAAATGCAATAGCCGAGGGTGTTGTGGTGTTTCATCTCTGTAGATGGATGATCACTTGCTGTGTGCAAACTATCTAGCATGCCCACTGTTTTTTCAACAAGAATGTAATGGTCAGTAATTCATATCTCATTCATATAAGTAAAGGATATGTCATGAATGAAAGTGACAACAAATAACGGTTGCATATTTATTTGATATATGCTAGAAAAAAGCAGCTTTCTAAGAACCTGAATCTATATGCTTTTAAACTCTGTGTAAATATGATAGCTCATGTGAACAGCTGGGTGAACAGGGATTATTTGATTCCAGCACTCTATATACGATGACTAAGGAGGTCCTTTGTTAAATCTTGTTTGCGTAGCTTGTAACCTAGACAAAGCACCTAGCAATAAAGCCCTTAAGGCTGCAGAGATGAATGCTGACCTTCTTTAGCAGCTATTCATTATGCATCTCCTGCAATATAATGTAAACGGATATTCATGATCTTACTATAATGTAATGCTTCTTTAATTTAGAAATGTAGTAAGAACATCCACATTGTCGTAGGTTTAGTGCCATTTTTATATCCTTCTGCCTTCATCATCCCATTCAAAACACACGCATACACATTGCACCTTATCTTGTTTTTAAACACCACCTTACTTAATTTGTTGAGGACTTTCGTCTTGTGTGTTTGTGTGCCTGTAAGTTTTGTCAAATTGCCTTCGACCCCTTTAATTTCATAGAGCTTCTTAGGCATGGAATAATTAGATGTGGTTTTACCAGTTCCTGTTATGTAGCAGTGTTCAAATGATTTTCAACCTCAGTCTGAAAGGAAAGTGCTTAAGAAGTTATATTACAGGATGAGAAAACATAGGATCTGTGGGAGTGTGGAGTCTTCCTGTCCCCCAAAGTCGAATACCTTTGGAGATGCTGATATTTGGAGCATGCATTTAAGAATCTGACTTTTCCTAGCAATTGGCTTATTCTGATTGTATTATTCTCACAGTTGGAGGGCAGCTTGTTAAGTGCTAAGGGCCACACACTGGAAATATCAGATGAAGGAGGATGCAACTAATTTGCATATCATTCACATGCAATTGCGGTAACCGCCATATCATTTTAATATGGCTGAACCACTCCTACAGTTTATATGTGTCTTACCTTATTCTTATTTAGCTGTATTTACCATTACATATGGGGGAGATTTGAATGGGTCGTCACAAATCACTGCAATGCACTGTATCTTGGGAGTCATGAGATACCTATTTTTTTCTGTGTCTGTTTGTTCTTCATTCATTCTCACCATATATGTGCAGAAAGCCTTTGAAAAAATGAGACAGGAAGCTTTGGGGTAGGGATTATAAGAATTCTGCTTGTATGGGGCGTGTGTGCACAAAGGGCTGGATATTGATTATAGACTGTAAATTGAACACCACCTGTGACTTATGAGTGGGAGAGTGTGTTAAAAACCCCAGCCTTGTTTTTACTTCATGTTTATGACCGATGCTCATGGCAGGGTGTATGCATACTTTTACAGAGCTTATTTCTATTGCTCATATGGACAGAGGCTTGCATGAGATACTCCCAGGGCATTCAGAATTTAGAAGAATTTTCTAAATTCTTTAGCTGTCTTGGCATAAAATGATGCAGGAGGGAGAAGGATATGGGACACCAATCCCAGGAATATTCTAGGCAATATTTTGTTTACGTAAAGAATGTATTCTAAGATATAACTTTGCTAAAATGTTATCTTCCAGTGTTCGACAATGAGTGCAAAGAAATAGATACATTGACAAGTACACGGGCACATTTTAAATACTTAATTTATCAAATTACTTTGTGCATGTAAATATTTTCTTCTAGAATTCCTGTAATACTCCATTGATTTCTGGTTATGGGTTGCAAGATGGTTTGCACTTTACCTCCAGGTTTAATATCCAGTTGGATGTCATTATTTTGCGTTGGAAATTCCACATACTGGAGGTCAGATAGAGGCATGCAGTGTAGTAGAGAAAAACAATATAACTTATTTGATCAGAGTATTTTCTTCCTGCAAAATTTGAAAAAGAAAAGGGGTGCTTTACAAGACCCAATTTTCACTTGTCTGAAATTTTTTCCAGCTGTTCGTTTTGTGAGTCAGTCAATTCTATGTAGTTGTTTGAGCATTGGAGACCAGAATGTGAATCCCCATGTGGGCATGGAAACATACTGGGTGACCTTGGGCAAGTGACACTCTCAACCTCAGAGGGTGCCAGAGAAAAAAAAACCCTGCATAAATTCTGCCAGGAAAGCTCTGTGATAGGGAACGCATTAGCACTGACCACTTAGGTGTATTCTGAACTGCTTTGGAAGGAACCCATTTCACTGCATGGGTGATAATATTGACAGGCCTGCAACTGGTTGGAGGGTGATTACATTAACCATGGAACCTGACCTCAAACCACTCTTCAACCCCCCTCCCCAATTTTTGGGAAAGATGCGCACCAGTGCTCCAGAGGTCTAGGAGGTGACAAAAAAGGGAAAGTGACAGTTAGGAGTGGAGGTAATCAATTACTTCTAATTAGCCCCCTTGCCCTATGTTCCCAATTCTACAGATAGGACAAGTGCCTACAATGTGCTTTGCATTCTGCGGAGCCGATTTCATCCTGGGATCTGCTGCGTTAAAGGGTTTATCTTGGGACTTTTCTGGGGCTTTCTTTAATGCACTGTAACTATTTTAATCTGTGCTGCAGTGCACATTAGTGGCATACGTTTTGTAGCTGCTACAGTTTCAAGTCGTCTTGAAGCTACATTAAATGATCAGTGTAGAGGAGCTAGGGTCGCCATATGTCAGAAATGACTTAGAGGTATGAAACAACAACTTGTCATTTGTATAGATGATGACAGAGAGAGAAGCAAGAGAGGGGGAATTCATCTCTTCTCACTGCTGGTGATCCAGTGTTCCGAAATGGGCATTCACTTTCCCACTATTTGATTTAAGTGGTTCCAGAGGCTTTAGGAGACTATGACCATTCTTTGCAACAGCTCAGCTAATATTTCACAGTGTTAACAGTGCCAGAACAAAACCAAAGTGTCTATAAAGTTTTTAGAAAAAGAGAGGGCTTTTACCTGCCAAAGAGTTCTTTCTTGTTTGCTGACATTTCAATTCATTTTAAAGAATTTATCGGTCTTTTTATGTAAGCTGCTGCATTTGAATCCACTGACATATAAAACTGTTTTAGAGGTGTATGAAATCAAAACATGTTTATTTTATTTTATTTTTAAATGCATACATCATATCCCTCCATTTTGTGTGTATGGTTTAAAACATAGTTTCAAAGTGTAGAGAAATTGTAATTAATTTGCAATTCAATATGTTATTTGTTAAACAAAATACATGTGACAGATTTTATGATCATGGGAATGTAACACAGGAGTTGCATTGAAATGAGGGATATATTTTACAGTGAACTTCTCTTGCACCGATAGTCAGATTTTTTAAAATGAAAAATTGGAAAGTAATTCATGTTGAAAATAGAATTTTCCTAAAGGAAATAATTAAAAGTGAATCGTAACAGGGACAATTTGTGAGAAAACAAATTAAAATATCTATTGAAACTGAGTTTTAATTTTGAGGGTCATGGTTTTGTGTTTACAACTTAATCGCTCTGAAGATAAACCTGAGTTTTTAATCTTTGATCATATCTACATATCTGTCTATTCTTAGGGTGTTGTCACAAAAACAATTTAATCAAAGCCATTCTCCTCAGTTCCTTTTTTAACAGCTTAACCAAAATGTATGCATGTTTCAAGCATTTCAGAAATACAGTTGTATTCCATTTCCATATGTAGTGGAGTAAAAGTGAATACTGTCTAGACTCTTGTATATATCTGGACATTTTAGTCAAAAAGTGACCCCCAAAAAGTGAGTCAGCTTATCTATGGGTCATTGTACAGTAAGAGCTCTACCATATTTTAGTAGAGTGGTGGAAGGCGAAAGCTTAAGGCCCCTTCCACATAGCTGAATAAAATCCCATATTTTCTGCTTTGAATATATAGTAGCGTGGACTCTGATAACCCAGTTCAAAGCAGATATTGTGGGATTTTCTGCCTTGATATTCTGGGTTATATGGCCTTGTGAAAGGACCTTAACTCTGTCCTGGGAGAACCTAAAAGAAGCACTGTCCTTGCTTCTTTCCCTACCATGGTGCTGTTTCTATACTTTTCA